TGAGCCGGTGAGATTAGAACCGCTGAACTGCAGATAACAGTCAGCCAAAGTGGCCTGCAGTACTGCACCCCAACCACTGCGCCACCTCGGCTCTACCTCTGATGGAAGAGATACAGATTGACAGAGTTGGGAGGGACTTTGTAGGTCATCTAGTTCATCCCACCCACCCACCCAAGCAGGAGACCCTACACCATTTCTGACGGATGGCAGTCCAATCTCTTTTGGAAAGCCTCCAGTGATGAAGCTCCCACAACTTCCAAAGGCAACTTCTGTTCCATGGGTTGATGGTTCTCTCTGCCAGGAAATGTCTCCTTATTTCCAGGTTGAATCTCTCCTTGTTCAGTTTCCATCCATTATTCCTCGTCTGGCCTTCGTGTGCTTTGGGAAATAGCTTGATCCCCTCTGTGGCAGCCCCTCAAATATTGGAAGATGCTCTCCTGTCCCCCCCTGGCCCTTCTCTTCACTAGACTAGCCTGCAACTGTTCATCGTATGTTTTAGCCTCTGGTCCCCTAATCATCCTGGTTGCTCTTCTCTGCACTCTTTCTAGAGTCTCAACATCTTTTTTAAGAGTGTTGTGCCCAAAACTGGATGCAGTACTCTAGGTGTGGCCTTACTAAGGCTTTATAGAGCGGTATTAGTACCTCACTTGATCTTGATTGTATCCCTCTGTTAATGCAACTTGGGACTGCATCGGCTTTTTTGGCTGCCGCCACACACTGCTGGCTCATATTTAATTGGTTGTCCACTAAGACGCCAAGATCCCTCTCACTACTACTGCCATTAAGCCTGGTGTTACACAGTTTATGTGTATTTTTGGTTTTCTTGCCCAAGAGTAAGATTTCATTTTGTTACTGGTGTACCTTCAGATGAATATCACATCACAAACTTGGATCTGTTTTACCTTGGTCATTGGTTCCATCAGCTGGGGCAGTGTGCTGGCCTAGAGGTGGATTTCTCGCCTCACGATCAGGAGGCTGCGAGTTCAATCCTAAGTAGCGGCAGATATTTCTCTCTCTGAGCGCAAAGTAAAAATATCTGCTGTGAACCCCACATAGGTGTCAGGAAAGGCATCCGGCTAGCAAATGCTCAGCTCCATTCAATTGCCCTGACTCCACTCCACTCTTCTCCAAGGGATTTCCAAGGTCGTTAAAATAAAAATTTAAAAATGCTTCCATCAGCAAATGGGATCTAGGTGGATGCTGGTCTGGTGTATCTTCACATGCTTTCTCCTGCTCTCTAATGATACAGCGAACAATATGTAATGGACAGAGTACAGTTATGGGTTGATGTGGGTGGATGGATGAAAGAACTATCTCGTTCTTTACCAACTGATCAAGCTAGAGTGCAAAGGAGAAATTGTTAAGACTTTGGGGTGAAATGTGTAGATTGCTCTTCGAAGCCCATTTTGTTCCCTTATAAGTAAGAACTATGGTTGACAAGAGTCTTATTTTTTTTGCGTCTGGCTGAATTGCTTTTAAAAGAGGAAAAGCAAAGATTTAAGAACTGTCTCCAGCTAAATCTTCACAAAAGAACTCTATAAAACAACTGAAACATTGAGACATCGGATCCGTTAAAAGCATGTGGAGGTGGTGAAGGCAGTTTGCTCCTTTAAGCAATAAATCCCAGCCAATGAACTCATGATCATTTCTCCAACCTCCATATATGATCCTCTTTCACCAGGGAAGGCTCGACAAAGAGTAAATCAATCCACCCAAGAGATTTCCACCAAATCTTTGGTGGTCCTTACAAAGAATTTGAAAAGGTTTCCAAAAGATGGTTGCAAAATTTTCCTGCTTTAAATGTACAGGATGTATCAATGTCCTGACTTAGGCTTCCCAAAAGCACAAAGCCGACTCCTTGTCCCGATAAAACCCCTTTTATTTAGGATAAAGTGAATTCCTCTCCAGCAAAGTCCCAGCCAACAGTCTTTCAAGAGATTTCACAACTACAGACCTTAGATCGGGTTTGGAGACCTGCAAAGCCGATATCTTCCAAATGCCACGCTGTAGCAGCAATTACTTGGCAAGAAGTCAGGAACAGATCTTCACCCTAATGAATTTAACTAATTGTCTCCTGCAAACTCCACTCCCCTTTTGCTCCTCTTTATTCTCTATGGGAGGGGCCATTCACCGTTCACCTGTGCCTTTACTCCCAAGGTGACTCTTGTTCCTTAGCTGTTCCTTTCCCCTGGCACCCCTGCACATGCACACACTGGGAACAGGCTTCAGCTGTTCTTCTGCCCCAATGATGTACAACTCCGAAGGCAGCTGATAACTGTCAGACGGCCTTAGTCCCGTCTCTGCCTCCAACACAGAGCCTTTGCAGGAAGCAACTTTGTTCGTTCTGCTTAGTTTAAGGTCTAAAGATCCGTTTTGACTCTTTGCTCCTTGTGGCCTTGCCAAGCTAATTGGCAATTAGGTCTTTGGCAGCATTTCAAAGAAGATAGAGGTGGGTGCTTATCAGCCTTCCCCCGAAAGACTTTGGCAGACTTCTGTCGGACTCTTGACAAACTTTGGGGCTCATTACGAGCGGTGAATGAACATAATTCACAGCGGCTGAAAAAGAGAGGGCTCTTGGGACTAAGTGTGTGTTTTTTACTGTCTCAGGAAGCCTAGGACAGTCAGACCTTAATCTCTTTCCAAATGAGATTAAGAAAAGAATGAAAGACGACATGAGGTTTTGACTCAAAGCAAGGGGTGGCATTTGGAGTTTGCAAAAGTATTTATTCTGTTTATGGTAAAATTAAGAACATGGTATGGAGGTAATAAATAATCCTCCGAATGGGGTTATCTAGTCATATCGTCCCTGACATGTCATGATGGGTTAGCCAGGGGTCGCCACACTTGGCAACTTTTAAGACTTGTGGGACTTCAACTCCCAGAATTCCTCGGGATTTCTGGGAGTTGGAAGTCCACAAGACTTAAAATGGCCAAGTTTGGAGATTCCTGATTTAGGTTAAATGGTCTTTACAAGAACAGGTGGGTCCCTCTCCCTCCTGAAATCTGTTTGATTCAACTTTGTCAGGGGATAGGGAGTCTCTTGGGCCGTGATGGCGAACTTATGGCACACGTGCCAGAAATGGCACGCAGAGCCATCTCTCCGGGCACGCGAGCCATCACCTGCTGCTGTTGCGTCACACCAGCCAGCTGGTCTTCATGCGCGCGGGAGCACTGGAAACTAGAAGAGCAGGTGCTCTGGTTGCATGCACATGCCGAGTGGCCGCTCTTCCAGTTTCTGGCACGCGCATGCGCAGCGGCCACCTAGTCTTCCGGTTTATGGCGCACATGTGCAGGCGAAGACCAACTGACGATGCACATGAGTGTGCCGGCAACCGGATCATCCTCCCAGCGCACGGGTGCACTCCTGTTTTGGCGCTCGGTGCCGAAAAGGTTCGGCAACACTGCTGTAAGGGAGACCCAGCCATTCTTTTCTCTGCGGGAGAAAATACGGATTCCATTTCAAGAAGATTTATGAGGTTGCAATAGAATCTGCCTCTCTCTGTCTCTCCCTTTGGCCTGTGCGATCATTTTCACGGGGGAGGAATTACAGGGTGAAATTTCAACACACAATTCATCCCCCACACCCCAGGCTTCTCCCCATGTTTGCAGGCTCTGGCCTAGAGCAGAGGCCCAGCCGTACGGAATCATGTCTTCCATGCGACCTTAGATTCACCATCCCTCGACCGATGCAAAGCTAGGATGTAAAATTAAGCTTAGTGAGAGCTGCGGGAAAGACTTAGAACTGTGATGGGGAATCTATGACACACGCACCACAAAGTGGCACAGAAAACCGTTCTGCCTGGTGCGCGCGGCCTCGCCTGTTTGTCTTGCGGGTTTCTGGCACACATGCGCACGCAACCATCAGCTGTCTATACATGTGGCAGTGCCGAAAAAACCAGCCAGCCAGCTGACTGTCAAATGTGATATGCACTCCAGAACCCGGAGGTTTGGCTGTTCCGGAGTGCGATCCCTTTGCCCATGCGGCAGTGCCGAAAACAGGTGTGCGCATATGTGCCGGCCAGCTGATCGTCAGCTGCACATATGCACTGGAACCCAGACGTTTGGCTTTTTCCCGGAGCACAGCCCTGACGAGTGCGCGCGTGCATTTGGTGCAGAAAAGGTTCCCCATCGCTGACTTAGAACATCGTGGTACGTGTCAATCGCCAAAGCTGGTCTCAGCCCTAAAAGTGCTTCATGGACCCCAATCAAGTCAAATTGCTCGAGAGGACGTAATCCACGCATGAAAAAAAAGGTAGGAGGAGGGGCCCTTGCCTAGCCACGCAGCAGTTGGCTATTTCCAGTTGCAGTGCTACTAAACAGATTATTTATAGCACACCGATTATAAAAGCAAGCAAGACTGACACGGGGAGAATAAAAAGAAGAGTTAGGAGGCATCGATCGATGATCTTCCAAAAGGTGCAGAGAGTGCTTGAAACATGATTCTGCTTGTAGGCAAGACGCATTTTTGCTGGGAAGAAAAACACAGTCATTTCTTTGGTTGCCGGGCCATTTTAGAGCGCGGTCTCAGCAGCCTTAAACTGGATCGACTGCTGCTTCTTGGAGAATTCACCCTCCATTGTGGAGGCTGGGGCAACCTACAAAGAGAAGGCAGAAAAGAAGTTAAAAAAAGAAAAGAAAAAGAAGAACGCCGATCCAGGATCCTTGGAGAAGCAGCGGAGACCTATCGTGAGCCGCGGTGGCACAGTGGTTTAGAGTGCGGTCGTGCAGGCTACTTCTGCGGACTGCCGGCTGCCTGCAATTTGGCAGTTCGAATCTCACCAGGCTCAAGGTTGACTCCGCCTTCCATCCTTCTGAAGTCGGAATGAGGACCCAGATTGTTGGGGGCAAATATGCTGTTAGTAAAGCGCTTAGAGAGGGCTGTAAAGCACTGTGAAGCGGTATATAAGTCTAAGCACTCTAATGCTGTCTTCCTCCTTTCCTCCCTCCCTTCCTCCCAGTGGTTAGAATACAATATTGCAGGCTAACTCTGCTCACAGCCAGGAGTTCCAGGTGACCGGCTCAAGGTTGACTCATCCTTCTGGGGTCGGTAAAATGAGGACCCAGATTGTTGGGGGCAAATGTGCTGACTCTGTAAATTGCTTAGTGAGATCTGAGAAACACTGCAAAGCAATATATGTCTAACTGCTATTGCTATCTTCCTGCCTGCCTTCCTTCCTTCCCTCCCAGTGGTTACAATACAGTATTACAGGATAATTTTGCCCAGAGCCAGGAGTTCAACCCTGACCGGCTCAAGGTTGATTCAGCCTTCCGTCCTTCCAAGGTCGGTAAAATGAGGACCGAGATTGTTGGGGGAAAATATGCTGACTCTGTAAACCGCTTAGAGAGGGCTATAAAAGGACTGTGAACCGGTATATAAATCTTAAGTGCTATTGCTATTATACTCTAAAGCTAGGCGATAAGATGACAGCATAGCTAAAAGAAATATAAATTTCTATTTCTATTTCTTAAATTTATAGGCCGCCCAATCCCGGAGGACTCCGAGCGGCTTACAGAAATAAAAATATTAAGAAAAGATTAAAAACAAATAAAACACAGCAGATTAAAAGAAACACAACATGCACCCAGTCTAAGCAGGGCTGGACCTCAATCAAAGGGTCAACAGCCCCAGGCCCACCGGAATAGCCAGGTTTTGATAGCTTTTCGGAAGGCCATGAGAGTGGGTAGGGTCCGGATCTCTGGGGGTAGCTCATTCCATAGGGCCGGAGCGCCAACAGAGAAGGCCCTACTCCAAGGCACCGCCAGCCGGCATTGTCCAGCTAATGGCACCTGGAGAAG